GGCAGAAATTAAGAACTGCTGAGATAAGTGTTTGAGTTAACTGAAGGCAGCTGGCGGGTAGTAGACAAATATTTCAGCTATAGGTCTGAGATGCAACTTGTTTTAAAGTTCTGAAATAGTGACACGGGTGGCAAATGACACCTCAAGCAGCAACAACAGAATGGTGGTCAACATAAGCAGGTATTGCTATCTCTCTTTGACAGAAAGAGATTACTGATGAACTAAGAGTACAAACAAGTGTTTCTTGCTCATCACTTAGGTGTAGCACGTGTGAACACTAGCATGAAAATAGAACCTTTTATCAATCAGTGCTCCTCTCCCCATTGACCTTGTATTTTTTGAACATGTGTAAGGAAGGAATCTGTCTGCGGTGTGCAAGGGCTAGCTTCACAATGCCACCTGTTCCAGGACTGACTTTCAGTAGGCTGATGACAACAAGGTGCTAAGTGTGATAGGAATTTAGGTTGGTGGTTTGGTTTTTTCTGTGGTGGTTTTTTTTCTTTTTTTTTTCTTTTCCCTGGACTGCTCTCCAGTGAGAGTACAGCAGTCTTTCCAACTGTTGGGTGTGGGGTTTTTTGGTGGGGTGTTTTTTTGTTTGTTTGTTTTCGGTTTTTTCACTTTTGTGTGAGCTGCTCTGTGTTTTTAATGTTGCAGGAGTCCAGGAGAAAATGGGAATAATGAACAAAGGAGTGATTTATGGACTCTGGGATTATGAGGCTCAGAATGACGATGAGCTCTCGATGAAAGAGGGAGACTGCATGACAATCCTGCGCCGGGAAGATGAAGATGAAATTGAGTGGTGGTGGGCACGGCTGAATGACAAGGAAGGCTATGTTCCCCGCAACCTGCTAGGGGTGAGTCCTTGATATTTCCAGAGTCAAAAAAACCCCACCCCACTACGTGGAGTATATACAGCATAATTCTTGTGCATCTAGGTTAGGTGCGATTTCAGAAGTCAAAAGGAAAGAGTTGAAGTTCTCCATTTATTCATCTGGGGAGTTGAATACCTTGGCAGAGTGGATTAACACCCTCTTTTTAGATACCTAACACAGATTATATTAATGGGTGCATAAAAGAACAACATGTATCACCACCCTGCTACACAGAGCAGGTTCTCATATTAACCTTGTCTCACCATCTTAGAGGAAAAAAAACGCCTTTTATCTGAACATGACATGTGCTTAAGGTTTTGTTGAGCATGTGAACAGAACTGGGTTTCCGCTCTTTTTAAAAGTGATAGACTGGCACAAAGGGCCTTAAGAACTGAAACTTGTATGAAGAATGAGTCACGAGTCCTTCCCTGTCCAGGTGTACACAGTGCACCTTGTGATCCAAGATGGTTTCACAGAGAGTTTGAAAGCAAACACTGCAAAATTCTATGGTTATCTTTTTTCCTAGTGTTGAAAAAGAGATCAGATTGCCAAATAAAGGCAGATCTTTGTTTTCTCCTATGCTCTTTAAGTAATACTTAACCATATGTCAAAGGCCTTAAATTAACGGCCTCTCCTTTCCTCATCACCTTCTGTACTACCTCTTTTATTAAAAAGAACTGTATACAAATAATAGATATTTTCAGTTATGTCCCCATATTTCTCCTCATGGCTAAGTTGCTAGAAAACTATAGCAGATGGACACATGTATAAAAATTCCATTAAGCTTTTTTCTACATATCCTGTTGCCCTGCTGCTGGAGATAAGAGGTTCTGCCAATGCTAAAGATTAACCGCTGTGAATTTTAGCTGATTGATGTATGATGCTTGAAAGAGGCTGAACATCCTCATTCCTCATGCAGATAATCCTTACTCTTAAACTGGTTAGATTTTGCAGAGCGACTGTATCTAATGCAAAATCAGTTTTCATTTCTGTATCACTTTCAATTCTCCCTAACATAGTAGTTCTGCTCAGTTTTTTCCTCTTCAAATGTAAACATTCCTAAATTGAGAGCAGCCATCAGCCCTGCACAATAAGGTCAGAAAGATCAGAAATGGCAGCTTTTTTTTTCTTTCCCTGCCCCAGGGTGAATTGTGTGTGTGCTACTTCGTAAGTGTGAGCACTCAGCCTGAGCACAGGTGTGTAAGGACACAAGGAGCATCTGTGCTTCTGTAACAAAAAGTGCAAGGCAACACAGCTTAGACTGGGGATCACAACTCATCCTTCTAAGCACAACACAATATAAACCTTTGGGAAAAACTACCCAAGCCCAGTATTAACTGTTATACTCTTGTGTCTGTTCAGTCGTTCTGGTACTGCTACTGAAGTATTCTGTGGTTATTCTCAAAAGCAATTACTGGACTCTTAATACAGCAGCTGAAATCTAGGCTAAGATGTTCATCACAGAGGAAAATGTTTGGTAGTTTAATATATTCTTATATTAAGTTGTATTTTTATCACACCTCTTTATCCTTTTGCAGTTAGGTGCACTGAATAAAAACAAGGAAAGGATGAAATTATCTGCAGTACTTACCCTTCTTAGTGACTCACTAGCTCCCTAAGCTGTGTGAGAGCTCTAAAACTGAATGCAAATAAGATAATACTGTCAAAATACTGACTTCTTAATACCAAACAAAATCTTTTGAACACTATCAGGTGTTATGCTACTGTGACTGACTGACCTCATCTCTGCTAGTGGTGAAATCGTAGCAGGCTGAGACAAACGTTGTGGATGAAGTTGTTGGTCTTCTCTTAATCAATAGCTGACTATGAAAAAGAAGAAAGCCAGAGTCTGGCTGAAGAGAGAAGAGGGCATTTTTAAGGAGAACTTTAGCTGAGAAAACCCAGGATGTAATATAGACATTGCATTGCAATTTAGAGCATGGAGGATTCATCTTTCCTAATTGTATGAAGTGTATCCTTCTATTTTTTATGCCAGTAGCCATGCTTTGCAGAACAGTAGTTGTTCCCAAAGCACTTTGCAAGTGGGAGCCAAGAGCTTCCCAAGCATCTTGGCACTGCTGTGTCAAGCTGTGTCCCATCAATCGTCACCCTGCAGCTGAGGCTGTCTCTGTACCTCTGTATGCGTAGCCAGAATGTGTGAATAGCACATAGCTCAAGGGCCACAGGGTGGCAGCTACTGATTTACTGCTGGGCGGTTAAAGGAATTTAACTGGCCACCCACTATCCACTAACTAAAGCACAGCTCCTACAGTTCCACAGTCCTTATGCAGCCAGATGTTTCCAGCTTGCCTAATGCTATAGATACGTAAAGGCTGATAGGCATTGAGAGAGAGAAAGCAAAACAGACTTTAATACCTCTCTATTTCCATTTATAAAACAGGGAAAAATCCTATAGTTCACTGAACACAAAAGTCTCTTGACTTACAAAGCCACATGCTTTTCCTAGCCCACCCATCTTGGTAGAGCTGAAGGTACTGAATTACATGCTGTTCCATGCTTTCCTTTTGTACTGACATGGTTAGTATTTTTTAAGCTTGCCTAAGAATGCTAAATTTATATTTGTTAGTGCTCTGGGTGTTTTTTATAACCATGCTTTTGCTACTAGAGATTACATTAGAATTGTAGCACCAAAGAGAGGTTTTTCTTTCCTTTTGTTTTTTCTTTCTTTAAAAAAAAAAGTAACCTTTTAAAGCACTAAAATTTTAAATCTCATTTCTATTTTACCCTCAGCTGTATCCAAGGATTAAACCTAGACAAAGAAGCTTGGCATGAAATAGTACAGAAGCCTGATTCTTGAAGTACTAATCATGGATGACTTACAGAAAAAAAATTCATTTTGTGTTGGTTCCAATATCATGAGACTTATTTCAATGACAATGTAATTTGAAAGCTATGAAGAATGTGCTTTGAAAACAAATGAAGGATTGATGCATTAGCAAATGGATGAGGGCATTCTACAAGATGAAATAATGCTTACAAGCAAATGAAATTCTGCTGCCTTTGGTCTAAACAAGCCATTATGTTCAAGTACCCACTCTGATTTCTTCAAACATGGCAGAAAAGAATTTCACATTTTTCTGCATTAAATTCAAGGACCTTTTCAATTTACCATTGAAGGAATCATCATGAAACAAACAACTTGGCTTTGTCCAAATTTATCCCAAGGCTTTTTCCAGGTGGGAGAAATTAAATTAAAGTATGTGCACAGCACCCAAATGCTTGTTGCTGGAAACAGAATGTTTAAAGAAGCTAAACCGAAATGCATCTGAACAGTGATAACCATGTGACCAATCCATTAAGCAATAACTTTTAAAAATGCTGTAGCATCTTAGGAATTCCATGTATTCAAAATATTATGTGCTGTAACAGACAATGTAGTTTTAGATTCCTCTTTTTACAAAGACCCTCATGTATTTATTGTATTTTGTACTTTGAAAACTAAGTGTAGAAACCTTCTGTAGTCCTTGACAACTTACTTGTTTTTACTTGACTGTGATACCATTAAACTTTTGTCTCCTCTTAAGCTTTAACTCTGGATATTTTAGTGTCAAGTTTTTATTAGACCATCTGAAAATGTTAACAGTAAGACATGCTGCTGTCCTACATTACAGTAATATTCAACTACTTTCTGTATTAAATTGAACCTCTATTCCCCCATTTGTTCAAGACAGCCTTTCTGCATTTAAAATTAAGCTGAATCTGTTAGTTGCATATAACCTTTGTTAACCTTAAAAGCTAAGGGACATATTTAAGAAGGAATACCATCCCTTGTCTAGTTTCAGATATGTAGGATGGAGTAGAGCTGTTACTCAAAAAGCATTTATTAAACCAGACTGTCAAGCTATAAATGAGCTTTCTTCCAGAAGTCATGTAAAACACCTTAAATACAAAGATATTAGCAAAGCGGCATTTTCAAAAGTTGCACTAAGGATTTATATTAAATTAAAGCTTTTGTACAGAGGATATGCAGTAGTAGATAAAGACTGTCAGACCCATAAAAATGAGGTTGCAGATTCTTCTGTTGTTGAAGTAGAACGCTTTCCTCCTTATAACTGTGTGCAAAATTTGCCATGCATAAGTTAAGGCACATTCACATTAGGATATTACTTGTATGTTTGCTTGATTATCTTCACCTGATCTTGCTCTTCTTGAGGTCTCTTGAGCTGATGTCAGTGGCTCAAATGACAGTAAAGCACAGCCACTATAATGAGAGAGAGGAAAATGGCCCAAGGTTAAGTTTAGTAAAAATAGTTGTAGCAAGTATGCATGTTCCCATTTCTAGTGTGAGGAAGAAAGTCTATTGTTACAGAAGTAATTTTAGGATCTTTCTTGAATGATTTAAATTTATATCTCATTTAAGTCAGAAGAGTTTTGGGATGATTTGCACATTCCTCATTTAGGTCCAGAAATAAGTTATGTTCAGGTAATAAGCAAGTCAAACGTGTAGGAGGGTAATTTTCTCTGAACTTTGTCCTTTCTACAGGGCACACATGGTGCAGAAAGAAGCAGACATGGTCAATACCATGAGTCATCACTACTGTACCTACATTTTACCCTGTTGTTGACAGAAAAGGCAGGGAAGAAGCCTACGTACATATCAGCCAAAATTACTGCTAGTAAGGGAGAAGTGGCATCTGGTTTAAGTAACCTTGTGTGTTCGTTAGAGATTACAATGTGATGTAGGTACATTTTTAAAAAGGGAACCTTTCTTAAGACTGCTTATAAATACACAAGCTATATAAATCCAGCATATATGTGAATACATACAACCAGCCATAATCAGTCAGAATGGAGCAGGACAGTCTCTACTGTTAACCCCGTCCCCCCCAAAAAAAATGAAAACAAACATTTTAGAGCTAAATGAACTTACATTAACAAGGTTCAATTCTATTGTTCCAGTTTTCTCAGTATCCAGTTTTCTGAATATTTCTGCCGTAGGAGAGAGATGACAGACAAGGATGAATATAGGAACTAATTGGGAAGCCTTCCCCTTCCTTGTGCTTCAGGATCAAAAAGGAATTTAGTCCCACAGTCTACACCCCAAACCAGAAAGTGCCACTCTAAAGTCAGTGCATGCTCATATGAACAATTTTAATGGTTCAGTCTGTAATATTAACACTATTTGTCAATCTGTAAGTGTTTTGATTTTTTTTTTTTTTTTTTTTAAAATGAACATTTAGTTGTTTGCATGGAAAACTGTCTGGCTCTGATTCAGCAGTCTGGCCTAAAAGGCTAGTTCCTAGATCTAGGAGGAGCATGCAGACTGGGTTGCCGGATTTATAGCCCAGCTTTGAAGTCACTTTGGTTCCAGTACAAAGTTTAATGAATAACTTACCCTGGACTTGAAAACACAAAGCAACAGAGTCTGTCTAGTTATTAAGCGTGTACTTACTGAAAAAGGTTTCCAGCCGAATCAAACAGCGGACAAAGTTATCGAAGTCAATGATGAGGTCTTCATCAGCAAAGCGAGCCACAATGATTTGATGTAACTGGCAGTTCAGTTTGAACCCTAAAAATACAATGTCAAGGATTTAAAAAAGAAGAGGAAGAAAAAAAAGCAAAAAGCTCCAACAAAGGAAAAACCCAACCTTATACACTGCCAGAAATTCCATTAGCTACTTTTGGTTGAGTTCTCAAATTTTAAGAGTATTTACTGCATCTTGGAAACTCCCAACAACCCCTTCTGTACTTGGAGTGATTTAGAGCTGTGACTAGGTCAACATGTGTTCTTCCTGCTGCGTGTGTTCCCACACCTGTACTCCTCTTTCCCAGGGGACATGGCCAATTGCTCCAGCTGGTGGTCCTTCCCTGGGTGATGAGGCAGCTGCCAGACTCGGCCCACTGAGACCTGACATGAAGCAGTGGCTTTCTGTGGGCAAATGCATCTCTTTCCAAAGACTATCTAAACTTTGGGACAAAACGAAACGCTGCCTCATTACAGGGTGACAGGAGGGGAAAGCTCCAGAGAGCCCAAACGCAGATGTTAAGATGGCCCCAGAAGATCAGTAAGTTAATTTGGGATCATATGGCTCTGTTATACTCCCCTCACTCACCATCAAAACTCAGATTTGCTTTTCAGTGGTTGCAGTAGCAAACTGACTCTTCTTTTAACACTCTTGTGAGCATCACCCCTTGGTCAAGCCACTTCCATTCCCTAGGTCACAGTATGCTGGTTTTACCGGCTTACGCCAAACTCACATGTACCCAGAGAGACTCATTGAAAGACAACAGTATGCTGTTACAAGACCAGATTGTTGGGAGTTATTTGTGCTTCTCCAAAAGCTGGTCACTAAAGAAAACAACTGCAAACCTGTCAGTCCTCTGAGATGCTTTTAGTGTGCAAGACACTGCTACACAAAGACAAGAGCCCAGGCTGAGCATCTAGATTAAACGGAGGCCTTTCAGGTCTGGGAACACAGGATTTTTCAGTTTACAAGTGATATATAGGAGACTAGTGAGCATCTATCAACCCAGCTTGAAACTGATAAAATCCTAAAAAGAGACAGACCAATATAAATACCTGCTATTTCCAGCGCTCTCCTCATCTCATACGAATTCATGGTACCAGATCGATCCACATCAATTTCCCTGTAAATTTTCTGCAGAATATAAAACCCAAAGTCAAAACGACTGTCAATAATTCACAGGGTGTTTTGGCTTTTGTCTGAAGTCAAACATTTTGAAATGCAGCCTGCATCTTACTTAGGAGCATTTGCAACATTGGTCTGAAGGGCTAGGTACTTATCTCCCAGTTAATCTAAAAGTGGCTTTAGAAAGTAAGTCTTTTTAATGCAACAGCCAGAGCGGATAAAGACTCCGGAGAATTCCTTCTACGCCCGTGCAAAATGGCACTATCGCTACCAAAGCAAGCGGCAAGACTGACACCAAACTCGCTCTGTTAAGTGGGAAGGCTAAACCTATTTGGACGTGAGTTAAAACAAAACAGAAACCCCTCCGAGAGTAAGGCAGGAAGACAGGTAGCCTCTCCTTCAGCCAAGCACCTAAAAGATAAGCCGTCACACCCCTGGACTCCAAGGGACAAACCTGGGGGACCGAGGACACAAATGCATCGTGAGCTGAAGCAAGAGTCCCTGCTTTGGGAAGAGTGTATACATTGTACGAGGCAAATCAGTCTACAGCCACCTCTACATTTGATTGCATGTTCCAACCAAAAAGGTTGCGTCTTACCTGGTACTTCTGAATCTTTGTCCAGAGGGTGTGGAATTCCTTCAGTCCCAGTTTACCACTCCCGTCGTTCTTCTTTGAGTTAAGGTAATCTCTTTGGAGGGAAGGAAAAGGGTTCCCCCCCCCGCCCCGGGTTTACTCACTTACTTAATACTTAAAAAGAAAAAAAAAATTGCAATTAAGAAAAGGATGCAAGTCCTCTCTGAAGGACTCATCCTGTTGAATATACAACTGTTGTCCAAGATTTCTTGTCTTTCTAAATCAGTAAAGTGGTCGATTCATTTAAACGATGATCGGTTCACAAGCTCTTTCTGCTTCTCCTTTGGCAGCTCTCTATCTTTTCAATACATGTATAAAACAGCCACGATGATGCCATTTTGTTCTGCATCCTTGGTTCAACACCTGCTCCTACAGGAGCATGAGTCCTAAGTCTGGATTATAAACAGGAAAAGCCACAACTAAGCCTGCTATTTGGAGGATTTAAGTTCTTGCACAAACAGCTAACAAAAGAACCTGGTCATTGCATTGCTCCCAAAAACCGCTAAGAAGTCCCTTCGGCCTGCCATATTTTACACCAAATTATAGCAGAGCATCATTCTGTTTCAGTAATTTTCCCTTTTTCTGACTATGCAATTCAACTCCCACTGCACAGAGAAGCTGAACACAACTATTCTTAGACTTGAATCCTTCATCCTACGCCTTTGCCCTTATTCTTAGGAGTAGAAGCTCCTAAAAGCCAGCATACTCTCTGGCTCCTGTATTTGTTTCCCTCATTTTCTATTTGCTAAGTCCTCATGGCTTTACGATGCCCTTACCAACTCCAGCCAGATAACAAAGCAGTGAAATGCAATGTTCGAACTCTTACCAGCCAAGGCAATCCACACCATGCTGAGAGCCAGGTGCCTTTTCCCAGCACAAACATCACTTTGTCCCCAGCTAAACCAGAACACGCAACAGCTGGGAAGACTTCAAAGCAGATCATCCTGTCTGAAAACGGATTTTCCCCGCTGCCTGGGAGAATGCACGTGCCACGGTCAGCAGCAATGGCATGGGCTACCATTTTTATTCAGGGGAACCAGGGTAAAACGAGCTTCTCCACCTCAGGAATCACTCGTACATCAGTATGGACCTGTCATTGCAAAGGCAGCAGCTCACCTACTCCAGCACAGGCAGAAGAGTATCATCTAGGAACAGCCTTAAAGGATACATCTAACAGGTCAACCATTATTTTGCATGTCTCAATACTAAAGCCATCAGATTTAATATCTTGGCCTGTAAAGAAAGAGCAAAAGACGGGATTATCATTGCATGCTGTACCACAGCACCTTCCTAAACTGCTCGGGAGCTGTGTAACCAGCGTATACACCTCAGCCCTGACTTGCTTCTGTGTCATCAGTGGCTTCCTTTGGAACTGGCAAGATGACTTTGTCATTTCGGTGTGGTTTTTTGCTTCTACGTAACGTGTGCTTAGTGCTCTACCTTGTTTGTGATCTACACCTGCCAGTTACTCAAGGGCAATCCACTGCCTACTTCAAATCCTCCCCTGGGAATAGGTATCCAGCTGTATATATCGCGGCCACAGTCTGGGCCAGATGAGTGCAGTGAGCAGCAGGGGATGCCTGCCTCCTGCTCTGGGAATTGTTAATATCATCCGAAGCCTTTGGGATCTGGCAAGTACGTAGTGCAGCGCAGACTATGGAGGATGTGGTGCCTGTAGAGCTGTAGTCAGGATACCTGCGTCCAGATAACCCTACAGTTCCCTCAAACGCTGGATGGGAAACCGTTGCCTTACGTTGCTTAGGTACCCCCTCTGAGGTAAGCTACGACTTCTGACAACTCCTTTGCATCCAGCAGAGCGGGAGGCAATGCTCGCTTGCAGGTGGGGTCAGTGGGGTCAGGACTTGCCAGTGAGGAAGAGCTTCAGGTGGGAGGACACGCGCAAGAATTACAAAGCTTTCGGCAAAGGGTCATAAGATGGTCCTTGTTTTGCACATGAGAGGGATGTGGCACTGAAGCAGGCAAATGGATGATATAATAAGCAGCCCTCTGATTTCCTGGGAAGAGACTTAGAGTGAAAGTCAGCTGTGATGTTTTCCCAAGCAAACAGCCCAGTTTTGGGTTGGTTGGGTGTGCTACAGAAGCAAGAGACAGAGATAAAGCTTTCCTGCCCTTATTGTCTGCCTGCAAAGACAAGGGTGGACTTTTGTGGACAACATGGACTTCTGACCTATGGAGGTCAGTGGTAGGTAGCTTCATGCAAGGGAAGAACTTCAAATCAAGCTTGGTAACCAGCAATACACCATTGCTAACTGGCTGGTGCACACAGACGTACAACACAGTCCGGGCTACTGGGCTAAGATTTCACTTCGGAAATTAGAGACACTTACTTCTCCAAGCACTTATTTCTTGAGCACTGTTTAACGGAAAGGAAAATAATGCAGAGCCAGGCTCTGAATCACTTCACAGAAAAAGAAGCCCAGAGTTTCAACGTTTCTCCTCCTCCTCCTCAGGGACGCGCCAGACCATTAGCTTGTTCAATACTAAAGTAGCAGCAATACCTTCTCTTGATTATTATCAAGCATTAATCAAATCCGTCCACCTTGCTGGCAGCCAATTCCCAGTAGCAGATGCTGGGATAAAAGGCACCCATGTGCACCCTGCCAAAGCACGCATCCTGCGAAACGTGCCTCAGCGCAGGCACAGCCCCAGCATTTCTGCAGCCCCCGAAGGAGCAGGGATAGCCGGCGGCTGTGGCCGTACGGAGAGACAAGCCGCAGGTCTGGAGCAGAGCCCAGGGGTTTGACTCTGCCCAGGTCAGCGGTGCGCTCTCTGCTCTCATGGCCACGCTGGAAACCTGCTGGTGGCCAACTGAAGACGCAGTTGGAGGAAGGTACTTACGTTTAGCCATGACTTTATTCAAGATGTTGCGCAGTTCGAAGGCGGAGATCTCCGCATCCTGCGAAAAAGAGGAAAATAAGTTTTTCATTGTGAGCTTGCAGACACCATCTCATAAGCAGCGTCTGACTCCTTTGGGTGAGTTGGCCAAGTTCAAACATCCCTTGGAGTTCAAGTTTCCCTTGGATGGAAACACAAGTGGTAAGGTCTCCCCGTTCCCATCAGCACCACCAAGTCCCAGCAGCACAGCCCTGCCGTGTGTGTGAGCAGGCCGGGCTGTGGGGTTTGCCTGAGCCCTCGGGCAGGCGAGAGCAGCCTGGGGAGAAGGCACAGCCCAGACCTCATCATCTCCCGGAGGGACCCATGCGCCTGCACCAAATGCTCTGCCCGAAGGACAGAAGTAGGGAGCTGCAGAGATAAAAGTCGAGCCTGCAGTTCAAAGAGAGCAGAGGTTGTTTGCCAGGAGCGCTCACAAATCCGTTGTGTAAGCAGACGGGTAACTATACAGATTTTTGCATGCACAATTATGCACATGCTTGAGATCTGACTCAGCACAGGAATTAGGGGAGGCGTCTCTCTTACCCACTCACCCATGCTACCAGTAAGTCCTTAAAAAAAAAAAAACAAAACAAAAAACCCCAAAAAACTCACGCTTCCTGCTAGCTGTCCAAAAAGCTTTTTAAAGCTGGGTACGATGTCGTCTTCACTGATCTCGGTCTAGAAGAGAGAAATAGAGAATATGGGAAGGAGGAACTTTTCTGCCTGAGAAGGACTTAATGCATTTCCTTGTCCCTAGTAAAATACAATTTAAATGGTAAAGCTTAAGGTACAGAGTGCTTTTACTTTGATTTTAATCAGTTTTATTTTCAGAGGCGTCTCAAAATGCTGGCATTGCAAACACTGCAGGAATTAAGAACTTTTGCAATGGCTTTTACTAAAAAAAAAAAAACGAACAAATTAAAATTCTTTGTTTTATTTAAAAAAATCACTACCTAATTCAGAACTTCACTGTTGCTGCTGCTACTACTGTTAGACTAGCTGTCTTCATTAAAGAAAAGCAAGGAAAATGTAGTTCTCATCCTGAAGAACAAAAAAAAAAAAAAAAAAAAAAAAAAAAAAAACCCCCCCCCCCCTCCCCCCCCGAGAGGTAGATGCATTAGTAGGTGAAACATCCCCAGCTCCAGCAAGACTAAACATATGGCAAGCCACTTCTTACTCATGGAAACAACATCAAATGCAAAAACTCCCCTATGGCTAAAGGGCTGCACTCCTGGATTCCTGGAGGGCACAAGAAATTTCCCGTGGCTCCAGCTACCCGGCAGAGAGTACCTGATCTCTTCTACCTGGCAAGCCCAAGCTCACCACTCCGGATAAGGGACAACACGTGTTTCCATTATTGCTTATGATGTTTCCATTTGCTGGCCATTCAACTATGGATATTAAAAGATCCGTTTCCAAAGCGGGACAACAGTGCCTGACAACGACCCCGCTTACTTACGACAAAATTATCTCCATTTAAAACATTTAAGTTAAGATATACCTCTTCAAAATTGGCCTCAATTTCGTCATCTATAACCCTAGAAAGGTAAAGAAATCAATATTAAAACCAAAATAAGTCACTTTTCTGATGCCCTTGCTTCAAGTTTCAGTTAAAGAGGGATTCTTTAAATTACAGGAGTAACGATCAATGTTCAAAGCTCAGAGGTTACTGGATTAAATCAACCACAGACACTGCATACCACCAGTGAAAGCAGCATTTTGCCAGCTACGGCAACAAGAGTTTCAGAACACATGACAAACTGCGCAACGTCCTGCAGAGTCACAGACGGGATTCTGGGTCAGCGTAACCCTTTGGGTCACTTAGTGCCACTGCCTACAGACCTCAGCCCAGGACCTGGCTCTTGGGTGCAAATCAAATTTCTATCTGGTAATTTTTTTTTTCTTTATCTTTTTTCCTTTAACATGGCAAAAGCGAGAGACTTGGAGTCATTCGGACGTGACAGAGCGGGAGGAGAAGTGTTGCACGCTGTCCCCCAGCTGCTGTGGGAGCATCACACCTACGGCGGGTGCAGAAGCGCTGCCAAGGGCCCATCAAAAGCTGAATGTGCCTTCACACAACTGATGTGCCGGTTTTCTCACCGCTACAGAAACATGCAACAAAAGATTACAGAATAGTAGAAAGGTTTTTCCTTGCTTTGAATTAGGAAACTCAATAAAAAAGGTCCCACACCCCTTCCCAAGGCCTTAGGCCAGCTGCTCTTTAAGATGTCTAAATTTTTTCATGGCTTCACAGTTAACGGTGTGGTTTGAGCCAGTTCCATTAAAATCCATTTTAATTTTATCAAAGGTATCATTTGGTTGAGCAAATATCTTGAATTTTTTGCCAGCCTGATCTCAAAGGTGTGAGATCATTTGTTGTGATCAGTGTGTTCCCAGACAGCCGAAAGCACAGGCAGTTCTGTCTCCCAAGCAGAGAGCCCAGCCTGCCGCTCCCTGAGGTTTTCTTCTCTCCACAGACCAACCTGTGCTGTGGCACCCAGCTGCCTACAGCCCAATAACTAAATATGTCTGCCCAGGTAGGGCTAATAATAATAATAATAATAATAGTAACAACAACAACGACGACAATAATTTGTTATATTATACTACATTATTATTATTCCACCATTCCTTCCTGCTAAGTTTACTCAAACTTTCCTCAGTTGCACATGGGGAAACTGGGGACAAACAAGAACCACCGTGATCCCATCCATGCAGGGCGGTTGCGCATCACCCCTTCCTGCTCCCTGTGGGAAGCCGATGTACCCCAGCCCCGGGCTGCTCCACCCTTCCACGCCCACGAGAGGGGCCAGAGATCGCCCATGTGCCCATACCGCTCTTGCATGGTTACAAAAAAGCTACGTACGTGGAGTTTGCGTTTTTTTCAGAGAAGACTCGCAGACAGAAATCCCCATTCTTGTTGGGTTCAAAGGTCGAGGGCACGATGATATATTCTCCTGCAGGGAGTTTTTTGTTCAGCACTTCTCGGAGGTTGATGAAGGTGTTTGATTTTTCTCTAGCTTTGTTGGTCAGGAAAAAGTTTTTGCTCAGATGAATATTTGTCTGGCCAGAAAACTTATGAAAAGCAAAGAAAGAAGGAAAAAAACCCCAACAGTTTGCATGTATTTGCATTTACAAATAAAAAATATAATAGATATGACAATTAGTGATGTGGAGGGGGGGAAAGAAAAAGAAATGTTGTCCATTCAACAGAACCAAAAGAGAGAAGAGAAAGGGGGTGGGTGCATCCCACCACAGTACTCCTGAGCTGTGGGTGCAAACGTATTTTGCAGATCATCTCAATACATCATTCGGGTCAAGCTTATGCTTTGCAGATGATGATGGGTGTGTGAAGACTTTTGGCAAATTCTCCCACCACCTGTTTTTCTTTAAAGCAAGACGGCTTACGACCGATGTCCCTCTGGTCTCCAGAGCTGGTGCCACCAGGGTACTGCAGCTCAGCTCCGCCTCTGAGGTCAGGCCGCCTTAAAGCGGAGAGCCCGCTTATGGAGGCCTCCAAGAATAAAATAAATGTTACGCATTATAAAAGCATATTTGGAGTGTAACATCTTCCAGAATAAACTCTTCTGTGCAGGGGCTTACAGGTGGGCTAGCTCAGCTCTAGAAGCAAACATCAGGAACGTGCAGAGGTTCAGAAATCTCCCCCTTCCTGTCCTCCCGGCTGTTTAAGAATGCAAAACCTGCCAGACCTGCTGCCATGGTAGGAGATAAAATTCCACGTTTCGGGGGAAAGAAAAGTAATGGGACTGTAGCTAGAGTCTCTTTTTTATGGAAATCAGATTTTTGGACCACTAGGGTGAGAGCTGAGCAGCTGATAGAGTACTGCTAAAGCACTCAAAAGGTACGTAAGAAATTTAATTAACTGGCAGCACCATTTCCTTCCGGATGAAACCCAGTTTTACATAGCAGCAGCTGGTTTGAGCGTAGCCTCGGGAGCTGCGAGGTGCCCCGGCTGCTTTGCATGCACCCTCACAGGTACCGCAAGCCCCGTAATGAGGTTTCCCTGGCATTTTGCTCAACCTCACTCGTTCCTCTGAGGAGCAACAGCTCAGAGGTGTCTGCAGCCCTGCCTCGTATTGCATAGGCATCACTGCCTTCCACACCCCTCTCTGATCCCTGGGGCATGCTATTAGCTACCGGCAGGGAGAAACCAATAAAGACGGTGCTTAGGGAAATGAAAATTAAACACCTCCTTGGAATATTAGTTGTGTGCCAAACATGACCTCTGTGCAAACCTGAGAAAAGCAGCTGTGCTCTGGGGGAACAGGTGTGGGTCTGGGCTGGGAGAAGATCCGTGGAAGAGCAGCTTTGGTGAGTTTCTGCAGTACAGAGAGCTCTTATCCCAACCCGAGACGCTCTGGAAACGCAACATGGGCTCAAGGCCCCTTCCAGAATAAATGGCCTCTAACTTTAGACTCTGCACAGTCAATATTGTCCTGCAGTGAAGGAGGATGCTCTGAACCACTTCTTCCCACAAGCCATTCAGCCCCAACTCCGCACCTTGACCACCAATGCATGCTACATACCTCTGGGGGCACCTGCAAGGAGAAAAGCGGAGAGTTATTTGCCTGTTGAATGGCAGCTCCAGGGCTATTTCTTTTCACTACTGGTTAGCGGGTACATCCACACTCTTGGAAAAAAGTCAGCTCAAGGGGGAAGGTGAGCGCTGAGCCCACGTCCCCCAAGGCTGACGGCTGGCTCAGGTCCCGACCCCATCCTGGAGGCCGGTGGGGCTCACCCCGAGCAGCGCAGGCACGGCCTGGCACAGAGGCAGCCAGGGCGGCCTCTACCCTGCGGCCCACCATGATATTTTTTGTAGACTCAGTTTCTCTACTATTTCTTTCCACCTTCTCTTTCACCCTCCCGCCCCTCTGACCTCTCCCACCATCAGAAGAGGAGGCAGGGGCTGAGCAAGACAATAATGCAGTTTTCTGTTTCCTTATGGGTTCAGGGGACCTAGCTTTGCTTTAAACCTTACTTGCGTACGGGGACCAGATTCTTTGACAAGCTTTTCCAAAGCTGGGATATTGAGAAAGCAAGCAGTTGCACATATTGCCTATGGTTACAGAGCAACCCGCAGGCAAGACCATTATTCCTATTTTCACTGCCAGTTAACCATCGCTGCTCTGCAGCTCTGAACAAAATGTCCTGCTTAAGGAGTTACCATAGACACGTCTCTGACCCTTCCTTCAGCAAAACGAGTTTTACAGGTGTTTTGGCTGGTTCTGCTGCTGGGTTCACGCTCCCCAAGCTAGTGCAGGTGTCGCAGCTAGCGTGACATCCCTACCACGGCTGCTCTCGTTCTGCTGCTTTTCACCACAGCCTGACAAGTGAAGGTCAGACTGGATTTCTGCACTTTTATTTTATTTTTAAATACTTTTTCTGCTCCTCCATCTAAAAGCACAGAATATTTTAGGTGGGAAGGAGCCTCTGTAGGTCATCTGGTCCAAACCCCTACTCAAAGCAAGGCCCGTATCAAAGTTAATGACATTGTTCAGGACCTTGTCCAGCCTAGGTTTGAATATCTACAGGAACGCAGATTCCATCATCTCTCTGGGTACCTGTCCCTGTGCTTGACCACTGTTCCTGTGGAGGATAATTTTCTAAACATCTAAGTGGAATTTTCCTTGCTGCAGCTGGTGTCCAACTCAACCTGGCTGAGTTTTGATAGAAAGCCCAGTCTAAGTGCACTACCCCATTTATAGGGTGCGTGAGTTTTCCTTTTCCTCCCATGCAGCTGTACTGCCTTACTTGCCTCATAAATGGCAAAGCCGATGGTGTGCATGTCCTCTCCCATCTTCCTCTGCTTCCGCCGGTGCTTTTGAATCAGGCCAATGAGGAAGGTGCAGCCCCTCTCAGGATCATCGGGATCCTCATCTTCTTCCTCCAGCTTGATTAAATACTGTGGATTCGTCCAGAATGTGTCTGGGAATCGGATTTATGCAAACTGCTCAGAGGCTTCTTGGAAAGCAGCCATGCCGATACATACACGTCAGCTAGGACAGATGCGGCTCTGACTTCCAGAACCAGCTGTGAGAAGGAAAAACTAACACGCCCCCCACAGCCTTTGCAACCACAACTAGACCCTCACCAGGGAGCCACATCTCCCAAACACTTGCACTTCGTGGACATCAGTCTTGGATATCCCAGGTACATCCTTGTCCTCCATAGGCCACCCCAAAGCAGCTCCCAGAGAAAGCTCCCAGAGAAAGTAGAAGTGGATGAGTAAAAGGTTTTTCCAGTTTCTCTTACTTGGGTAATTCCTGCAGCCCCCTGCAGTGGCTCCTCGCCTCCAGTTCCCATCCAGCTTCAGCAGGCTCCACTTCTTGTACCTGTCACTTGCCAGCGTGTCTGGAGTCAGGTTGCAGATCTCCAGGCGGGAGTAATGTCTCAAGAAGTCGTTGAACGCCATCCTGTGGGAGGCAATGCCAGAGGCAACGTCTCCTTAGAATGGACAGGTTTTCTATGCAACCACCTTGTCTATCCTCTCTCTCTCCCTCTGCGATTTAGCACTAGGATTTGGGGCGAATCTGCTCCCTCATGTTGGGGAGCGTACTGGGAGAGGTTACTTTGTGTGAAAAAAGCAGAGGAGAAGACTTTCCCTTCAGCCTGCGTGGAAGCCCAGTGCTACTTACCAAAATTCCCCATCTTCATGCCTCCTGGTCAGCCGCTCCCGCACCTCGGGGTCAACGCCACTCCAGTTTGGGCAGCTGAAAGACAACCCCAAATCAACTACAGGGTACAGTAAAGGTTAAACCCTGACGTAGCTGTTCTGGCACAATGATTTCACTTTCTTACACCTCGAGACAACTGCAATACTCCACAATATCTAGCTGATAGCAGCTCCAGGGCTCTCAAACCATAACAGAGTTAAAATACAGGGGCCTGGGATATTTGACACCTCACTTCTTAAATATCCAAGGTAAGGATCAGAAACAGAGTTTTATTTGCAGAAAGTGCTAAGGCCTTGACTGAGTTGGAGCTTTAGTTTAGAAAACACCTCGAGACAACTGCAATACTCCACAATATCTAGCTGATAGCAGCTCCAGGGCTCTCAAACCATAACAGAGTTAAAATACAGGGGCCTGGGATATTTGACACCTCACTTCTTAAATATCCAAGGTAAGGATCAGAAACAGAGTTTTATTTGCAGAAAGTGCTAAGGCCTTGACTGAGTTGGAGCTTTAGTTTAGAAAAAGCAAGACCCAGAATAAATACTGCCCAGCCACAGAAGTGAGTAAACTCCAGCTTTCATTGCTGACAAGAGGAATGGATTTTTAAAACCCTTTTAGAAAGTAAGTTTTCAGAATCTCACCACTGCACCTGGGCTGTTAAAGAAGCAGAAACTACAGAGAGGCTTGTAGGAACCCCCAACCAAACGCCTGCGTCTTACACGAAGGCAGGTGTTTGTATGAAGGGCACTGCATGCTGTGACACCTATGTGGAAGGTGACAGTGGTGGGATGCTTCTTTTAAACAGCTCAGAGCAAACATCACATCCACATTAGAGAGGAATCTGAGGTAGGGAGAAGACAGGAGACAGCAGAAACATGATCATACCCCTGCAGTAAAAGCCTACGGGCGACGCGCAAGCCATCGACTCACTTGTCGTTCCACTTCCCGGTCCACTCCACTTCCCCCCAGGGATTTCGGATTCTGATCAGCTTCTGCACCGTTCCTCGGAAGTTCACCTGATGGGATCAGAAGCATACGAAGAGTTACCCAGGGACTCAGCACTGCGCTCCCTTCCACCTTTTCTATGGGAATTAAAGGACATGACAGAGTAAGTATCTCGGTGCTGCACAAACACTGAAGTGTATATGCACAAACACGCACTCATCTGATCCAAAAGACGTGAAGTCAAACTGATTTTGAATGAGCTCCACGCACCCAAGCTTGTCCAGAGAAGGTTTTTGTGCAATCAAAACTCACGATTACCAAAATGTCTGTTTTGTGCCACTAAAAAAGTTACCTCTGATGGGATTTCATGCAAAGGAAACATAAAGATGCCACAGGACTGACCAAAAAGCGGTCACCTATGTATAAACTGCCCTTTCACATTCAAATGCCTTTCCCCCCCCGCCCCCTATATACAATCTGAACTGCACCTATTACAAGAGGTGGGGTAGTCAGTCTGGCCACAACCCCTCTGGCCACACGAATGCCGCAGGGCACGGCGGCATCAGCCCTGCCACTCCCTTTCACATTCAAATGCCTTTCCCCCCCACCCCCCGCTATATACAATCTTAACTGCACCTATTACAAGAGGTGGGATAGTCAGTCTGGCCACAACCCCTCTGGTCACACAAATGCCCCGGGGCACGGTGGCATCAGCCCTGCCACGACAGCACCTCCTCGCACTGCCCCGAGGCCCTGGCTTGTTATCTGCTCATCTCTGTGTGCGCAGAGTCCAGGCCAAGCAAAGCTGTACAGTTTCAGTGGGAACACCCAGTATTTATAGGGAACACGCGGCACTAATTTGAGGAAGGAGCTGACACATCTCTAGAGCCCAAAGCCAAGAAAACTGCACAGAGCATCAGCAGCACGGAGTCCAGAAATGATGCTCCGGTGCTGAAGATGAACTACCCTTACAAAGCCTGCACATATCTCTAAAGGAAAAGCCTGGCTAAATCAAGCCTGTTTGTGAATTAAGATCAAACTCCCTCTTCGCTGCTTTTGCTGCGAGAGGAGGACCAAATGCAAGGACATAAACCTGCCCGTTAGTAGCGTCCACCTCAGTGCAGCATGTCAGCAGCTCTCTACACCTCACTCTGAAGTTGCAGACATTATTTCAGAAACAATTATCAGTGAAGTGACCGAAAGTCCATTACACACCTGGAAGGACGCCATGATCTGCTTCTTTTGTTTTCACTCGCCTTACCTTTGCTGGTCACCTGCTCTTGGACAGGCACTGTGCGTTCGAACACTGTGCCCTGCTGAAAGGTGCTGCTCGGCAGGCATTTAAGGGACAATAATACCTTTTTTTTTTTTTGCCTTTACAGGTCTCTCGCACATCTTGCTGTGCGTTTAAGGTACAGTGGTGCCTGCTATACAGAGACGTGTTGAGGGCCCCCCTCACCAGCAAAGCGTAGTGTGCCATCCGCACAGGGCTTCCCACTGCCCCGCTCACTGGGAAATAGCGGTGCTTATGGAAAAAAAGGTGTTTTTTTCGTCAAGACCCCAAGAAGTCAAGTTTGTGTTTATCCAAAACACAGCAACTAATTCCGCATTTCTTCAGAAAGAAAGGACTCAAAACCTGATTCAGCAAAACGGGTGAGACTGGAGAATTTGCAGCTTTGAGGACGAATTTGTGGCTGCCACGGCCCAGACCACAGACAAAGCTGGCTGCATTTCGCCCCTTTGGGGCGGCGCACGTACCTCCTCTGCCCCGGTGACCGAGTACGCGTGTCCCTTCACCAGCTTCTGGGAAGTGACTGCCTCCGTCTCCGCCGCACTGGTGATCTGGAGGAGCAAAGAAGCTCGGTGAGCATGGCTTCCCACGCGGAGGGGATCCAACGGAGCAAAGCTTCCCCCTCCAATGCAGCTTTAGTCTCACTGGGAGGCTGCAGGGGTGCTTCAGCTGCTGCACAGAAGCAACGAGAGGGATCTGCGTGACAGAGCGGGGAGAGGGGACGGCAGCACGCGTGGCGGTGCTGGAGCCCCCGGCGCCCATGTTGGTGGCACGGGGCGCATGCCAGAAGCCCTGCACTGCAGCAAAGCTCCTTCCTGGCTCCGAAACACTTGGTGCGGTGCATCCCCTCTCGTGCATCTCCAAATGCTGTACAAAGGGGATACATACGATGAACTCCATGTTCTCAAGGGACCAGGATGTGGGGGGGGCTACTGGCCTGAGGCTGCCCAGGCATCACCAGGGATCACACCCCAGTCCAGCAAGCCCCAGTGCTCTACTTCGAGGTCAAAACACCCCCTTTGGCTTCACAGCGGGGTGGGAGGTTCCCTTTCCTTTCCCTAGCACCACCACCCTGGGACATGCCATGCAGGGGAGCAAGGGAAAAGGCTGCACTTTGGATGCCATTCATACCTGAAGGCATATCACCCTCTCACTTGTTTGTAGCCGTTACAATACTTGGGCAGTCTGGCCTATAAACACTGCAGAGAAAAATCACTTCTTGCCAGAAAGTGACTGCTCAACATCTTGCTCTAAAGATGCTTAAACCTCTACGAAATATGTGTTTGCCATTGCCTTCCCACCATTTGAGAAAGTGTGTGATCTTTAAAGAAGCATATCTGAAGCTTAAAAAGAGGGT